ATAGCCTTGTGAGGAGCGGCGGTCTGGCTGGGAGTCCGCCCAGGAGGAGTCACTGAAGCCAGAGAGAAGGGGAGGGGAGGAACCACCCAATGTGAGGGCGTGATCCTTTGTGCCTCGGAGGTAGCGGAGAACTCGCTTGGCGGCAGTCCAGTGTTCCTCACTGTGGCGGCCGGAGCCGACGAATCGAGCGAGGACGCTGATGGGGTAGGCAAGGTCGGGGCGAGTGCACATCATCGCGTACATCAGCGACCCGACGAGTTCGGCATAGGGACGGGAGGAGGCGGAGGGGGAGGTGGGTGGCGCTAGCTGGTGACCGAAGGGGAGGGGGGTGGAGACCGGTTTGGCCTGCGCCATCTCGAACTTCTCCAGCACCTGGCCGATGTAATGGGACTGGGAGAGGGTGATGGTGCGAGCGGATCGGTCGCGGGTGATGGTCATGCCGAGGTAGTTCTGCAGCGGACCAAGGTCCTTGCACTTGAGACGGTCCTGAAGGGACTGCTTCACCTGGTCCATGTCGGTCCTGGAATCAGCAAGCAGGATCATGTCGTCAACGTAGACCGAGATGAAGAAGCGACGAGGGGAAGAGCGGATGAAGAGGCTGGCATCGGAGTGGGAGGCAGAGAAACCGAGGGACTGGAGAGTGGCAGACAGCTTTGCATGCCATTCTCGTGGTGCCTGCTTCAGACCGTAGACTGGTCGACGTAGTTGCCAGACGGTATTGTCGGGGAAAGCAGCGTGAAACCCGGGAGGTCGGCGTAGGAAAATACGCTCGTGCAGCTCGCCTTGCAAGAATGCGTTGGAGACGTCCATGGAGTCAATCTCCATGTTGTCGCGCGCACCAACGTGGAGAAGGGCGCGAAGGGTGGGTGGCTTAACGGTAGGGGCGAATGTGAACCAGTAGTCCTCAGCCCAAGTCTGTGTAAAGCCCTTGGCGACATAGCGGGCCTTGTCGACTGGTTCTTCTCACGGCAGCTGCTTTACTCGGAAGATCCACTTGCCCTCGACAAGGTTGGCGTCAGGAGGGAGGGGCACGTCGATGAAAGAGTCGTTGCGGATGAAGGCCTCACATTCCAGGAAGATGGCGGCTATCCATTTGTCGTCATCTGGGCAGGTGATAGCTTCCTGGAAGGTGGAGGGGACGAAGATGGTGGGAGCGGAGACTGCGGCAAGGATAAGAGCCCCGAGGAAGCCAGGGTAGAGGGGGGTGAGAGAGGGAGTGTGGCGCTGGACCATAGTGAGTTCCTCATGGAAGTCCTCTAGCAGGTTGAGGGAGGGAGAAGGCGGTGTGCCAAGGATGGGATCAAGGGAGCGGGTGTGCATGCGAGGGAGGAGGAAGGGTGAGGAGCGGGCAGTCGCCCTCCGCCGCTGCTGCTGCTGGTGCTGTTAAAGCCCCTGCTGCTGCTGCGGCTGCTGCTCCTCCTGCTGCTGCTGCCCCTGCTGCTGCCCCTGCTGCTGCCCCTGCTGCTGCTCCGGCTGCTGCCCCGGCTGCTGCTACGGCTGCTGCTGCCCCTGCTGCTGCGGCGGCTGCTGCCCCTGCTACTGCTGCTGCTGCTGCTGCTGCTGGGATGAAGGAGAGGGAGGGGAGGAGGGGAAGGGGAGAGGGGGGGCGGCGGAGTGGGCAGGGGATGCAGGTGCAGTAGGATCGTAGATGTCAGCAGAGGAGGGCGGTGGAGGTGGAGCAGGGAGAGGTGGTAGTAGAGGCGCAAGAGGGAGGAGGGGAGGGAGGACAGTGTCGGTCCAGGCGAGAGGACGGGTAGAAGAAGGGAGGGGGTCTGGTGGTGGAGAGGAGTAGTACGGGGTGGTTTCGTCAAAGACGACGTCAATGCTGCGGATGAGGCGACCGGAGGGAGGGTGGAGGAAGAGGTAGCCAGGCGAGTCGCGGTTGTGTCCGAGATAGACACACTCGAGGGCGCGAGAAGCGAGCTTGCCGTGGGTGCGGTCGGAAGGAGGGATAAGAACGTATGCCTTGCAGCCCCAGACACAGAGACCGGCAACGTCAGGTTTCATGCCTGACCAGAGTTCCGTGGGGGTGATGGCAGTGTGTTGAGGATGAGAGTGAAGGTTGAGGAGGAGGGCAGCATGGAGCAGAGCATAGCCCCAGAGGGACGGAGGGGTGGAGGCGTGAGCGAGGAGGCAACGAGCGATTTTGGTGGATGCCATGGGTGGCGCAGTAGTGGGAGAGGGTGCGGTTGAGGAATTCTCCACCGCTGTCAGAGTGAAGGCGGCCGATGGGACGGTTGAAGTGGGCGCGGCATTGCTCTGCCCAGTGGGTGATCACAGTTGGTGCCTGGTCTTTCGTGTGGAGGAGGAAAATGGAGGAGTAGTGGCTGTGGTCGTCTACGAGGACCAGCATGTAGCGATGGCCCTGACGGGAGCGAGTGGGGGAGGGTCCCAAGAGGTCCATATGGACTAGGTCAATGGGAGCGGGAGCAAAGGATGGGTGGCTGTGGTGGGGAGACTGTTTGAGTTTGCCGTGGATGCAGGAGGGGCATGGAGGGGTTGGAGAGGAAGGGAGGGGAGGGAGAGTGGGAGGGAGGCTGTGAAGGAGGCGAGAGGTGATGGCAGTGCGGAGAGCGGCGAAATTGGGGTGGCCGAGTCGGTGATGTAGCAGTACAGCGGGGTGGGAGAGATGGTCGGAGGTGGAGGGGGTTGGAGTGAGTGATGGTGGGAGAGGGGGAGGTGGCTGCTGCGGCGGCTGCCCTTGCTGCGGCGGCTGCTGGTGCTGCTGCTGCGGCCCCTGCTGTTGCCCCTGCGACGGCGGCTGCTGCTGCTACGGCCCCTGCTGCTGCCCCTGCCGCGGCGGCTGCTGCTGCTGTCGCTGCTGCTGCTGTGGATGCTGCCCCTGCTGCGGCTGCTGTTGCTGCTGCTGGGGTGGAGGTGAGGTAGGGGGAAAGGAAGGGTGAGTGGAGGTGCCAGCACGAGTGGTGACATGGCAGAAGGATGGCCAAGGGGTGCGGAGAGTGTAGAGGCGAGTGCGGGGGCAGAGGGGAATGCGTAGAAGGAAGCGACCGGTGGCGGTGTGATAGAGGTCACAGTAGGTGGCATTACCTGGATAGACGGCAGTGATACCTGCATTCTGGATTTCCCGATGGGAGAGGAGGTTGTTTCGGAAAGTGGGGATGTGGAGACCAATTACCTTACCGGAGGGGAAGATTGTGCAGGGGAGAGTGGAGAGATGTGTGCATGGGATGGTGAAACTGCTGTCAGCACCGTGAACTTGAGTGGGAGGAGAGAGGGGTGTGAGTGTACCAGCATCCTTGAGAGCAGTTTCAGTGGCCCCACTATCAAGGACGAAGTCCAGAGTGGGTGGGGAGGAGGAGGAAGACACCGAGTACTGGAAAGTGGTTTCATTAATGGTGGAGGGGTACATGGAAGGAAGAGAGGGGGAAAGAGCAATGTTGCCAAGAAAACTTTCCTGGGTGAGGGGAGTGACAACACTACCAGGAGGAGGTGGGGCACCCCACCGGGGAGCAGGGGAGGTCTGAGCAGCTGTGGCTGCCGTGCTGAAGTTCAGCTGCTGCTGCTGCTAGGGGGGAGTGCTGGGTCCCCACTGGGGTGGGAGCCCGGGTCCCCATGGGGGCTGCTGCTGCTGCTGTGGTGGTTGCTGCTGGAACAGCTACTGCTGCTGCTGCTGCGGTGGTTGCTGCTGGAACAGCTGCTGCTGGTGTTGCTGCTGCTGCAGAAGATGCTGCTGCTGAAGATTGAGGAACGGCGTGGGGGGAGCAAGGAGGCGGAGGTGGGCGGGGAGAAAAGCAGGGTAGGTTTGGATGTCGGCAGGGGAGGGACGCGGGGAGACGGTACCCCAGCGGGGAGGTGTGCCAACATTGCCCCGTGCGTACCAGGCATCATTGAGAGCCTTGAAGCAAGTGTTAGGGGGATGGTTGGTTTGACCGCAGGGTGTCCCTGCCCGGGGACCGTAGCGACGGACATAGGTGCAGGGAGGGAGAGTGCCAGGGCGGGGTCCGCGGTTTCGAGAGGGACCGCCCTGATTGGGGGTGCCGTGCTCATCCCCAGTAGAGCCACCGCGGCTGCTTGCGCTGCTGCTTCCTTGACCGCTGCCTCCCTTGTCCCCACTCCCCCCTTTGCCGTTGCCTTTGCCCTGCTTGCGGGGCTGGGTAGCGTTGAGAGAGGAGGAGGAAGGGTGGGAGGAGGCGAGGTTGACCATGGGGGTGCGAAGCTTGACTTCGGTATCGATGATCCACTGTTCAACAGAAGTGAGATCGGCCATGGGATTGGCCTCGGTAAAGGCGTGAAGGCGGGATTCATAGTCTGGGGTGAGGTTGAAGAGGAGGCGATGGATTTGGAGGGGTTCGGAGAGACCGGCTTGGCGGGCTTCGAGGCGATCAGCTACCTCTCGCATGCGGCCGACATAGTCTAGTGCTCCGTCACAGGTGGCGAGGGTAATAGAAAAATATTCCTGGAAGAGGATACCCACTGAGCTGATGTCGCGGCGTTCGAACATAGCATGGAGTTCTGCCCATATCACCGAGGCACGGAGTTCCCGGGCCTGGAAGCGGCGCATGAGGGAGTCGGGGAGAGCACCGAGGATGACGGTGCATGCTCGGTTGTCAGCGGCTGACCAGGCGATGAACTTAGTAGTGAAGGTAGCCATATTGTCGTTGTATTTGGCGACGACGGCGAGGTGAGCATCGCGGCTAGCAACGGCCTGGGCGTAGGAATCAGCTGCTGCATCGTACTCGGCTTTGCGGATGAGGTAGGCACGGCGACGCATAATGAAATCTGCATCTGCGGTGGCTTGGTCGGCGGCGGTCTGGAGCTCGGGCTCAAGGGGAGGGTCGCCAAGAGGGGGAGGGAGAGGAGGGGTCTCGCCGGGGTGGTCAGGTTCGGTGGGGGGGAGGGCATGGGGGCGGCGGAGGATGACGTCAAGGACGCGGTAGAGGGGGATCCATGCATCGTTGAGGACTCGTCGGATGCTGCCGACGAACGAGTGCAAGTTAATGGCAGATTTGTCGGCTGCAAGCTGTAATTTGTCAATGGAGGAAGTATCGATAGGAGGAGGGAGGGGGGAGGGGGAGGGCCTGGGGTTAGCCATGAGGGACGGCTGCGGGTGGTCCCGCAGTGGTCACGGAAGCGCGCAGGTGGCGGCAGCTGGTGGGGCTGCTGTGGCGCGGGTGCGGAAGCGGTGGGGAGGTGGAGGAATGGCGCAGGCGGAGAGGCGGCGACGAGGCCGCGGAGGGGAGCGGCGCGGGCGGAGGCGGCTAGTGGGGCCGCGGAGGCGGCGTCGAGGCCGCGGAGGGAGCGGCGCGGGCGGCGGCGGCTGGCGAGGCCGCGGCGACGCGGGCGCGGAGGCGGCGTCGAGGCCGCGGAGGGGAGCGGCGCGGGCGGCGGCGGCTGGCGAGGCCGCGGCGTCGCGGGCGCGGAGGCGGCGTCGAGGCCGCGGAGGGGAGCGGCGCGGGCGGCGGCGGCTGGCGAGGCCGCGGCGTCGCGGGCGCGGAGGCGGCGTCGAGGCCGCGGAGGGGAGCGGCGCGGGCGGCGGCGGCTGGCGAGGCCGCGGCGACGCGGGCGCGGAGGCGGCGTCGAGGCCGCGGAGGGGAGCGGCGCGGGCGGCGGCGGCTGGCGAGGCCGCGGCGACGCGGGCGCGGAGGCGGCGTCGAGGCCGCGGAGGGGAGCGGCGCGGGCGGCGGCGGCTGGCGAGGCCGCGGCGACGCGGGCGCGGAGGCGGCGTCGAGGCCGCGGAGGGGAGCGGCGCGGGCGGCGGCGGCTGGCGAGGCCGCGGCGACGCGGGCGCGGAGGCGGCGTCGAGGCCGCGGAGGGGAGCGGCGCGGGCGGCGGCGGCTGGCGAGGCCGCGGCGACGCGGGCGCGGAGGCGGCGTCGAGGCCGCGGAGGGGAGCGGCGCGGGCGGCGGCGGCTGGCGAGGCCGCGGCGACGCGGGCGCGGAGGCGGCGTCGAGGCCGCGGAGGGGAGCGGCGCGGGCGGCGGCGGCTGGCGAGGCCGCGGCGACGCGGGCGCGGAGGCGGCGTCGAGGCCGCGGAGGGGAGCGGCGCGGGCGGCGGCGGCTGGCGAGGCCGCGGCGACGCGGGCGCGGAGGCGGCGTCGAGGCCGCGGAGGGGAGCGGCGCGGGCGGCGGCGGCTGGCGAGGCCGCGGCGACGCGGGCGCGGAGGCGGCGTCGAGGCCGCGGAGGGGAGCGGCGCGGGCGGCGGCGGCTGGCGAGGCCGCGGCGACGCGGGCGCGGAGGCGACGTCGAGGCCGCGGAGGGGAGCGGCGCGGGCGGCGGCGGCTGGCGAGGCCGCGGCGACGCGGGCGCGGAGGCGGCGTCGAGGCCGCGGAGGGGAGCGGCGCGGGCGGCGGCGGCTGGCGAGGCCGCGGCGACGCGGGCGCGGAGGCGGCGTCGAGGCCGCGGAGGGGAGCGGCGCGGGCGGCGGCGGCTGGCGAGGCCGCGGCGACGCGGGCGCGGAGGCGGCGTCGAGGCCGCGGAGGGGAGCGGCGCGGGCGGCGGCGGCTGGCGAGGCCGCGGCGACGCGGGCGCGGAGGCGGCGTCGAGGCCGCGGAGGGGAGCGGCGCGGGCGGCGGCGGCTGGCGAGGCCGCGGCGTCGCGGGCGCGGAGGCGGCGTCGAGGCCGCGGAGGGGAGCGGCGCGGGCGGCGGCGGCTGGCGAGGCCGCGGCGACGCGGGCGCGGAGGCGGCGTCGAGGCCGCGGAGGGGAGCGGCGCGGGCGGCGGCGGCTGGCGAGGCCGCGGCGACGCGGGCGCGGAGGCGGCGTCGAGGCCGCGGAGGGGAGCGGCGCGGGCGGCGGCGGCTGGCGAGGCCGCGGCGACGCGGGCGCGGAGGCGGCGTCGAGGCCGCGGAGGGGAGCGGCGCGGGCGGCGGCGGCTGGCGAGGCCGCGGCGACGCGGGCGCGGAGGCGGCGTCGAGGCCGCGGAGGGGAGCGGCGCGGGCGGCGGCGGCTGGCGAGGCCGCGGCGACGCGGGCGCGGAGGCGGCGTCGAGGCCGCGGAGGGGAGCGGCGCGGGCGGCGGCGGCTGGCGAGGCCGCGGCGACGCGGGCGCGGAGGCGGCGTCGAGGCCGCGGAGGGGAGCGGCGCGGGCGGCGGCGGCTGGCGAGGCCGCGGCGACGGCAGGCGCGGAGGCAGCAGCAAGGCTGCGGGAACAAGGAGAGCGCTAAGGGGGGAGGGGGGGAAGGTGGCGGAGGAGCCGGGAAAAAAATGAAAAGGGAGGAGGCCGGGGGTTGCGGTGGCCGGGTGGGCCTTTGGAACGAGAGTAGGCCTAGGATAGTGAGCTCTATACCATGTGGGAAATAAGAGTTAGAATAGAAGTTGATACTTTGATTGAGAATGATGGGGGTATACATAGTTGGGGGTTGGATACTAGCCTAGGTTGGCATTATTGGACCCCAACCAAGAAGTTGGGTTGGGTGATTATTGGTGGGGTCCAATAATGTTGGCCAAGGTTGGGTTGGGCCAACATTATTGGAGGGAGCCAATAATTCTACCCAACCCAACCTTTTGGTGTCCAATAATTGGACCAAGGTTGGGTTCCAACCTACAAACTGGGTTACCCCTGTTTGTACACCCAAACTAAGTTTGGGTGCTTATCTCTAGCCTATCCTATAGCATATATGCAGGTTACAAGAGGAGAGATATTCTAACAGGTGTCACAATGTAAAAGTTAACCATGGAATGAAACATACAGCAAGATATATCCGACGAACCCCAACCTAACCCTAGGTCAAGAATGTACACCTAGACTAACAAATATAAGCTTTAACAAATATAGCTGGACACATCCCCATAGTCTAGGTGACGGTAGTCCTATGGAAAGCAACACATAGCTCAGAGTGGACCTCAAGGACACCACACAGTCTGAGAGCAAGGGTCACAAGACCAGTCCACAAGAACAAGGCAAATCTGAGGGTGGAGCTCAAAGTCACCACACAGCCTAAGAGCAAGCAAGGGTCACAATACCAGTCCACAAGAACAAGGCCAATCTCAAGGTGGAGCTCAAAGTCACCACACAGTCCGAGAGCAAGCAAGGGGCCACAAGGCCAGTCCACATGCAGGTATATAGCAAATATATGAGATGAAAGAGTACAAAACAAGCAACACAAAGCAACTCAATGTAAGCAAGTGAGGACGGACAGGCACAAGGCCCACCTGGGTGCAGAAACGCCGGTGATCACAAGGCGGTAATGCCTTGGAGAAGATTTATGTAGTGTTGGCCTCAGAGACGACACGTCACACGAGTGCCTGGCCATGCTGAAGCAACTCACGCAGAAGGAAGTAAGGAAGCTGGATGTGCTTCGCCTTTCCAACGAGTCGGGCTCCTCACACAACAGGGCAGCAGATCTGTTGTTGGCGAACAAGACTGGGGGAGAGTGAGGCTGCTCACCAAGGTCGGTGAGGAGGAAAGACAGCCAGCGAATCTCCTGGGCGGCCATGGCCGCAGCGTACACCTCTGCCTCACAGCTGAAACTGGAGACTGACGATGCCCGAGTTGAGCTCCACGAAATAGCTCCGGTCCAAAGGCTGGAAAGTTGCCTTGTGTAGACCGACGAGTATCCGCATCATCGGCCCACGATGAGTCTGAAAAATCTGTAAGTGTAACAGGCTCCTTCCCTCCAAGGACAAATCCCATGCCTAATGTATTCGCCACATACTTCGCCACCCTCTTAACAGCGTACCAGTGAGACGGACGGTGTCTCCCAGGCGCAATAGAATGTGCCAGGACGCTACGAGGGTAAGCTAGGTCTGGGCGAGTACAGGTTATCAGGTACATGAGACAACCCACCAGCTCAGGATATGAACCACTGGACTCAAATGACTCTTCCGAAGGTGGAGCCGTGAGCCCATGATCCACAGCAGGAGGGGTGAGCGGTACCTTGGAGAATGGGAAGCGAAACCGCGTGAGGATCTGCTCGGCCATATGCGTTTGAGTCAGCGTAATGGTGCGAGCTGCCCTGTCCCCGGTGATCAATGAAATGCTGCAGCCCACCAAGGTCAGTGCAAGTGTGTCTCCTTCGCAGTTCCTCCTTCACAGAGGCCAGCGTGCATCGGTCATGAGTGGCGAAGACCAGGTCGTCAACGTAGACCAGGACAAATAATGGGTCGAGCCACGGCGGACGAACAGTGACGGGTCGGCAGACGGCCGAAAGAAGACAAGTGCTGCAAGGGTCGAGCGAAGTGTGTCGTGCCACTCACGGGGAGCCTGGCGCAGGCCGTAGACTGGTCGACGCAGCTGCCACTGTGGAGAGTCACTCTACAACGGTAGTGAGCTAGAATACGGGGTTGGCACGAACAACTAGAGGTGATCGTAGCTTTGCTTAGTTCCTTAGTGCTTGCGCATTCACGGGAAAGATTGTCAAGAGTTTCCACTAGCAAAAGTCGAAATTACAGAATGATTGAACAAGCAATGACAGAATGACTACATCAGGCGCCTAGCAACCCTGCACCTAGCCTCGTCGACTGCCAGCACAGCTCGGTCGACCGCCTGCCAGCGTTGCATAGAGGAGCCGCGCCAGCAGTGCAGAAGGGCGACCTGCCAACAGATCAGGTCGACGACGTATCAACGCTGCAACAGAACAGCTGTCCAGCTTTACCCCGTAGAACACAGCAGTGCGCACGCTCGCAGGTGCGCGCAGACGATTGGCCCGACTTGCCTCGTTGGGAATCCGTCGGCTGTTGTCTGCGCCTGACGAGCCACATCGACTTCGGATACCAGCCCGCAGTCGCTTTCGCCATCACAATCTCGACGACGTTCGCGTGCCTCCGCAGAACTCGTCGAGCAGGTTACCCGGTCGACCCGATCGACCACCAGGTGCTTTCGGTCGACCACCAATGCTTCTGGTCAACCACCAGGTCCCTCTGGTTGACCACCAGGTGCCCCTGGTCGACCATAGCTCCCGTCGAGCTACCCCTTGGTCGACGGACCCCTTCCATCGACCAGAACCGTCTGCGGTTGTCGCCGAGCTCCCCTCGTCGACCGCTGCTCACTCGTCAGGTCGACGGCTGCTCCGTCGACCTCCCCGGTCGAACCACACAGGTCGACGGACTGCTCCGTCGACCTCCCGGTCGAACTGTAGGTCGACGGACTGCTCCGTCGACCACCCGGTCGAATTGCCCCTCCTGGTCGACGGCCCACCCGTCGCCCAGACCAGTCAGTTGCAGCTGTCGAGCTCCCTGGTTGACAGCAACACCACAGCGGTCCACAGCAGCTTGACGAGGCCTGTTGAGCAGCTCTCCCACTGTGAACGGTCGGCTGCTACTCTCGTACATCAGGACCAAGACGTCGGCGTTGCCCAAGCGAGGGCGGGGCCAACACTCTACTCCCGTTAACACTCCCCTGCCGCGCTCACGCTTGGGCCTCCAGCCCACACGACAGTACTCCATGGAGAAAACTCGTCCTCAGCGTGCACCCCACACACAGCACGTCGTCACCGCACCAGCCGTGCAGAAGGGCACGACACATATTGCTGCACCTCGTCGTCGCCGTCGCCGACGTCGGCCAGACGAACTTGGCCGATGGCGACAGAGCACCGGTTGAAAGCCGGAAAATGCAGCGCCTTCGTCAGGAAGTCAATCGGCTGCTCGGTGGTCGGGATGTACTTCAGCACGAACTTCCCGCGCCTCACCATGTGCTGCAGCCAGGCGTAGCGTCGCGCCATGTGCTTGAGGTTGCCCGTCAGCCCCAAGCCCTCAGCGATCGTGATTGCCGACTTGTTGTTGACGCATAGGATGGTCGGCTGCCCAGCGTCGAGCAGCTTGAATTCCAAATTCCGCAAGGAGGAAGAGAAGTCGACGCCCCTCCTTGCTGACGTCCGTGGCCGCCACGTACTCTGACTCGGTCGATGACAATGTCGCGCACTTGATGCGCGAGCTCGACCAGAAGACGGCGGCCCGTCCGTAGACGAACACGTAGCCTCCCGTGCTCGTCCGGTTCTGCTTGTCGCCCGCATCGTCGGCGTCAACGTAGCCGATCAGCTTTAGCGACTCTGGTCCACCGCCGAACTCCAGGGCGGTGTCCTAGGTGTCGGCGAGGTAGGCGAGGCAGCGGTCGACCTCGCGCCAATGCTGGTCGCTCCTCACCGTCAGGCCACTTCCCAGCTTGCTGCATGCGAAGGCGATGTCTGGCCTCGTCGTCGTCGCCGCGCTCCTGCGCCTCCTCGTCGTCGAATGTCAGCTCAGCGTAGGCGACAACCGATACCGGCGTCTTTGGGACTCGACCGCCCTGCTCTTCGTCGATGAAGCGCCTGCGCAGCTTGTCGGCATAGCCCTGCTGGTGTAGCCACAGCTTCCTGGCTGGCCTGTCGCGCACGATCTCCAGCCCAAGGTACTTCGCCACTGGCGAGATCTATCGCAGCTCGAAGGCGGCCATTAGCAGCTCCTTCTGCTCCTTCAGCATCGCGGTGCTTCTGCTGGCGGCGAGCAGGTCGTCGACGTAGACCAGCACCCAGCAGGTCACTCCGTCGTCGCCGGTCTTGAAGTAGAGTGCCTCGTCGACCTGGCTCTTCTTTCAGCCAGCGCCCATCAATACACTGTCGAGAGTCCTGTACCACAGCAGCGGCAACTGCTTCAGCCCGTAGAGGCTCTTCAGCAGCTTACACACCCGGCCGGTCCCGTCGTCGAAGTAGTCCAGCTGGTACATGTAGAGCACCCTGTCAAGCTTGCTCTGCAGGAAAGAGTTCTTCATGTCGAGCTGCATCAGGTTGAGGTCGAGGACGGCGACGATGCTGAAGAAGATCCTTAGCGTGACGTAGCTGCTCATCGGCGAGTACGTCTCGTCGTAGTCGGCACCGTACACCTGCGTGAAGCCCTTCATGACCAGCCTCGCTTTCTCGCGCTCGACGGTGTCGTCGATGCGGTACTTGGTCGTCAGCACCCACCGGTTCTTCATGATGTTCACCCCACATGGGCATTCGACCAGCTCCCAAGTGCCCATGCCGATGAGGCTGCGAATCTCTTCTTCCATGGCGGCCTTCACCGCCTCGCCCTTCAAGCTCGCCATCGCCTCCTTCACCGTCATCATGGCGATGTCCCAGTGGTGTTCGGGGTCGGCGTGCACGTCCGGGTCGAGCTCCGCCAGGTCTTCATCCTCCTAGGCGTCGTCGTACAACAAGTCGTCGTCGACCTCGTCGTACACCGTGGTGAAGGCAGCTGGCGGTAGGCAGGCGTGGAAGCTGAGCCGCTCCGGCGGCCGTCGAGCTCGACCTGTGC